TTCCACCTTCTGTGTGGGCGTTAAACGCGTGTCAGGCCTACCACGAAATAAACAAAGACATCCTTGGGTTGGCTATGAAACACCAGATCTCTGGGGATGCCGGGCCCTGGCACTGCGGATGAGAGATGGGGGTGTGCAGGCAATAGAAATGTCACAAACAAACCGATTAAACAAGTACTTTCCAAACAAACACCCACAAAAAACCACCAACACCGCCCAAGCGAATCAAAGCTGCGAACCGAAGCCCCGAATGAAATCAAACAATAACCGAAAAGTTTCCAAGGGCGACCAAGCATCTCATTGAACCCGAAAAACCCAACAATCCTTTTGGAAAGTTCGTCTGGAAACATACATTTCCCTTTTCCGGGGCTTCCGATTAAGTTGATGGTGACATCGTTTTGTGGGTCACGCGACTTGTTTCCCAAATTCGCTTGAGCTCTCATCTTTTTGGCACTGGCAATCTGCTAAATATGTTAATGCCTGCTTAAGCCTATTAGTGTCAATTAATAAATTACCGCTGAAAGGATTTTTCTGAACTTTTTTAGAGCAGGGAAAATGTCAAATGCATGTTTAATTTTTAAATTTGCGAGATGCGATTATATGGTCAACTGGTTATCCTAGCTAAAAGGGTTTTTAATATTCTTGATGGTGGGAACCAATAATAAAATGTATAAGGTGAAGATTGGATAAAAGTATTTTAAAAATGAGAAGCTATAAAGGGTTCCCCAATTAATGTTTAGATTTAAAATTAAACTATTTTTTAAAATATAATTGTCAGAAACTTAATTATTGTTCTATTCAATTCCCCAAACCAAAACTCTCTAAAGCAATCAAACAATTCGCCACTCCAACCATCAACTCACCTGAGAAAAAACAGAAAACCAGACAGGACACTCCTCACATGCATTCCCATTCCCATTGCTGGTCTAATTTGTGGGTGTTATGGGGAATTAACCTCTTAATGAACTAATTTACTCAAGATTAAGATGGCAAACAAAGGAGGCGGCCGCAGCTAATTGTAAAAAAAGAGCGGGACGCAAGGACCAAAAGGTGAGCGGGACGGGAACTGAAGTTTTGGTCTAGGTAGAAGATCCTATCTTTCAGATAGGAACCGAGCAAATTGCCAGGCGGTTAATCTATTTAAACGCGCCAAATACGCGCGACACAAAAGCAAATCACCAGAAGCAGAATATATATTTTTGGTCGAGTGCACAGATTTAGGGATAGAAAGGATCAAAGGACGAATGGCCAAAGGAAATCCGTCTATGGCCGGCAGCGGACAAAGGCCAAAACTCGTCTAATTGCGCGCCTATGAGGGAAGCGAAGAATCCACAGTTCCGACTGGAGAACGAAGAATGGAGAATCCCGAGCGCAGAATGCAGAACGAGAGAACCTGCCAATTGTTTGGGAACATCCCTTAATCTGTGTCGGTAATCGGTAATCGGCGAAAATCGCAGGACGCGCAGCACAAAGCAGCGGCCGAGATCCTTTTGAACTTTTGCTTGGGCGCAAAAGAAGGTTAGCAAAATATTATTACAAACCTACGGAACCGTAACCCACATAACATTAAGTTGTGCACTCAGAGAAATAGGTGTTAAGCGGGAACAGAAAATTTCAAATAAAGAAGTTCCCTCAAAATAAAATACTTAAATATTTCAGCTTTGTAAAGTACATAATTGTTAAGAAATAACAGATCAAATCATATTCTATAGAACTTTATTAAAAAAATATTTTTAAAAGCAAAAATGTCTTACAAATGTATACATAAATTCCAAGTTCAACTTTATGCTCGAAATTCGATACCTATTTTTTATAGTAGTCGAATATTTCAGAATTTAAGTTGTTCACCTACAAAATAATCCCTACAGTTAGATTCATAAAGTGATACTTAACATGTATAAAGTTATATTCAATCTGTGTATATCCATTTAAGACTCTATTTTTCCCAGTGTACCTGCTTTCGCCTGTGCCCGTGTTTACTCTTGAATGAACTGAAAACATTTCAATTTGACAATCGTAATGGAGGCAAGGATGCTAAAGCCGCTCATGGCTAATATAGGCGATTTAGGGGATTACATCAATTGTAAAATTGGTCAAACACCGCAATTGTTTCACTCCGCAAATCGGATATTCCACTGCCCCTGGATACGCTTTCACCCACACAGTCCCACAAAGGAGCGCAGGACGAAGGACGAGGCAGGAATCCTCGGGGCAGCTGTTGAGTTTCCCTTTGAGAGGCCCTCATCGCCGGCCATTGTCCATCGCCGCTTTCGTCCTACTTACACATATGCATACTCGTCCTGCCAACAAATGTATCTCATGGATACGCCGGGCCCAAAGTCCTTGTTCAATGCCTTGTAATCGCTGCTGGCTTACCGCAGATTATGCAAGCCGCTCTCTTTTGCTTTCCCCCGGAAAACCATTTTCCCATAGCATTGATTCATTTCCTTGGAAAAAATCTGCAAAATCTCTGCTGCAATCTGGCATCAGCCCAAAGTCCAGTTCCTTCCCGAAGGTGTAAATCTTCAATTTTAAGGTTAATTTTCCGATGAGGTGCGAGAAATGCGAAGCGTTTTATTGGTTTAGTAGATCAGTCCGGAGGCGTAGTGCTAAGATTGCCCACTAACCGTGGATTTATGCTGAGAAAGGTGGGTGGAAAGATACAAGGATTGTTTAAATTTATATATATACTTATAAATATATATCCAAACCCCGCTATAAAAATATTTTAAGTACCCGTTCTTAAAAAAAGCCCATTATCATACCCAATGATTCTAAAGTTTAAAGTATTTTAAGTGAATAAATGAAATAAGCGATCTTAAAAATGGTATTATGGATAAAATGTCCTTTTCTTAAGTTTCCAAAAGTTGTGGTTTCGAATTATTAATATATTGTATGTTTTAACAATGTAAGCTAAAAAATTTTAGCCATGAAAACGTATTCATACGAAATCGGTATAGCTCTTTCACATTTAACCATTACTATTTTAAAGGTCTTATAATAATAACTTATATGTCGTCCTGAAATGAACTCTTGCCCCTCGAGAGCGAAAAAGCATCCTAAAAATAAAAGCAAAATCCAAGAGCACCGCAACCATTTTGCAAACTCATTAAAAATTAAAAAAAGCAGCGGTATAAAAAAAGACATACAACAACTAGAAGCAGAGCTGCAGTCTATTTCCATCTCTTTCCCGCTGACCTCTGAACTCTGCTCTATTTGCATCTCTGTTTTGCTCTCTTTCTCGCACAGCTTTTGCACTTTTCGTTTTATATTTTATTTTTGCACATTTTGCTGGATTTTCAAGTTCTTTTTGTTGTTGTTGTTTAGTTTAGTTCATTCTGCACTGCTCTGCATTTACAGTTAGTCCACTCTGCCACCCCTTTATCCTCCCCTTGTCCTTATCAAGGATATACACTCCTCCTTTTTCGCCCCTCTTTTGAGTGTGTGTGTTTGGTCATGCTTGCATGGCCTTTGAATGGAAATGAACAGAGGTGAAAAAGGAGCAGAGATAGTGGAAAAGAGATAAGGTGAAAAAGAGGGGACACAGAGGAAAAAATAACTTTGGATCAAGGCCAAGAATTAAACTTTATCATATCTTAAAAACATTTTACAATTGAGGTGTTTTTACATATTTAATAGAGAAAACCTTTCAAAAATAACTAGATAAATTTTGTTTTTATATTCAATCATTTATTTGTGAGATCCCCTGCCATTTTATCCTTTTATTATAACTTACTTTTTTTTATCAGTGTATCAAAGCTGCATAGGCCGTTGTCGTTTTGTTTGTTGAATGTCCAGTTTGTTGTTGTTTGTGCTGCTATTTTCTCGTTGTTGCTGTCTTTTTTCGTTGCTTTTATTTATTCAACTAAATGCAGATTGCACATTTCTGCATGCGCCGTTCATTTTGCTTCTAGTTAATCACGCTGCTTTTGTTAAGGATAATGGAATTAATCTGTACCATCTGACTTTATTGATGTGTGAAGTGAGTTCGTTATAAAATAAACTACAATGAAATAATAATGTGACTGTCCTGGATTAAGCAGCTTGGTGTAAAAACTAAACAAACACTTTAACTTAACTTAAAAAAAATAACATTTATTAAAAAGAAAGTAATTAGCTAATAAATATCAAAATTTGGCGCCGTCGGCACCACATCCTTTCAATAATAAAGCAATTTAAAACCTTTCCTGGAATTTTGTAACTTCCCAAGTGCATATATGTACATTTTACAATTACACCCCTTTACTAAATGCTGATATCTGTATCTAGTCGACAAAGAACAGCTATTTGCATATCGATTTCCCCACACAAGAGGCGCACAATGAGCAAGTTTACCTGAAAATGCATTGGAAACGGCGGCCATAGTCCTTCAAGGATCCCTTAAATCCTCCCTACGCTCCCTTCCAAAGTCCCCGAAGAGTTGTGCTTTTGTGCGATTCTGCAGCTGCAACTGCTCAACTCCAGTGAAAAGCAGCCATAGCAGCCATGTGCCTTGCCAAGCCCAAGGAAAGGTCCTGGGACCATAGTCCTGAAAATGGAAAAGGGGCAGGGAATCAGTAGAGCTCCCAGTGCAAACAGAGTCAAGAATGCCGCGCTGGAGATACCATCAAAATGAATATGAGATTATATTTGACTAGTGCTGGTTAGGAGATATACGGGGGGTTTCAAATTAAACTGGAAAGAATAGGTGCACAGAAAAAATTTTTTAAGATGAATATATAATTCTTAATATAATTGGGATGTTTTTAAAATGTAAAATCTATTAAGTACCACAAAGATATTACTTTTTCCGGTGATAGCCTTAAAAGTTATAGATGTTACTAATTTATTTTCATTATAAAGGTCCTTTTAAAAGCTACATATTTTTGGAATAGATGAAATTGTATTAGGATTTTTATAACATAAATGTATTTACCATTTCTGATGATAACAATTCTGAGTACATTAAAGATTACTAATTGGATTATGGCTGAATTATTTTCTCTGTATATGGTAAGCTAGAAGGGGATATAAGAGGCTCGTGGATTCGGGGTAGAGAGTTGGAGAATCAGAGAATCCTTGCCCGCTGGCGGGCTAAAGGTGAGCAAACAAAGACGCTGATAAAACGAAATGCCAAAACGACAATTGAAACGCCCAACAAAAGGCAGGGGCTTTCCCGGGGAGGGGTTGCTACGAAAGCAAGGGGGGTGGACTAGTGAAAAAGTCAACTCGAGAGGGATCCCCGAGACCGGTGGCTGCCATTTTTTGGTGTCTGCGCCTCATCCAAATCAAGTGTGAACGGAATACGGCCAAAGGTGGCCCTCCGTCGCTCTCTTTCTGGCCCTCCAGTGCTCAGTATATCTTTCTCTCTCTCTTTTGGTAAATCCCCTCCATCACATCACTCCTCTATGTATCATCTCTTCCCGGGGCTCTTGAGCTCTATCTCTATATAAATATTTTAGGGGCGGTCTCTTCTCACTGCCTCTCTCTTGCACCATAATATTCCAATTCGACATTTGGTCTTTTCATTCATAATGCAGTCGCTGTCGACGGCGACGTCGGCGTCAGCTTCAGGATATATATCATCCAATCTGAACATGATGATGAAGTTCTCCTTTTGCCTGTCGGTCCCATCAATCCATCTCGTTCTAAAGCCCATTCAGGATGTCTGTCTTTCGTTCTCTCTCTTTCTCTGTGTGTATACCACCTCTCACTCTGGCGAATGGAGGTTGCATACAGGACTTTCAGGGGTTGATTCCCCAGGATTCACCCCAGACCTCTGCGTATGTCCTTTTCATATTTCTTAAGGCCCGCACCGTTTGCTATTTGCCTTCATTCCGCTTCGGTCGCTGATCCTGTGCAGAACGCGTCCTGTTTCTCGCGTCCCCCGATTTGCATTTGAGAAATCTACATTTTTACGAAACAAGTGAACTCCATTTGAGAGAAAAAATATAGAACCAACTTTAAAACCAGTTTAACTTGTGTGTGTCAATAGTTGTGCTTTGGAACTAACAAGTGGAGATTGGCCGCCTGCCAAAGGAATTGGATATCCACATAGGCAGTGCCTAAATATGGTTTACTTTGTACGTATTTTGATGATTTTTTAGTACACTTTAATTGGGTGCCAAAACTCCGACGGGAATTTGGGTTTTATAAATAAATCAAAAATAAAGAAACTTGATGATTTCATGAGTTCATAATGTTAACATTCTTTGAGCCCTTCTGAGAAACATTAAAACGTAGTAATACACCCAAAAAAAAAATCGCCCTTAAATCAAGAAATTCGCCTTTAAATCAAGAAAATCGCCTATGATTTTCATCCAACGGCGACTCACCTTTATTTTAAATAAATAATTTTCTTGAATTTATGGTTTGCCATTTCTGGAAATAATGACAAATTTTTCTTAAATGTATGGTAAAAAACCTTAAAATTAAGGAAAAATTTATTAAAATAAGAAAAAAAATATTTATGATGTAAGATTACATCATTTTACATTTTACACCTTACATTTGAGGAATTTGGTTGGTTTTGTATACCAATGTTGAATTTTAAATGGATAAAACCGTTTCTAATTTTAATGGCAATTATTACTACAGTCTGAAAATTTTTATATTTACCTGAATTTATTAAAGATTTGTTTTATATAAATACTTTTTATAAACATATAAATAAATATAACAAATGGAAAAATCCTTACCTCAGACAACCCCGGCGTGAACTCGAACCCGCAACTGCTCACACCATAGCCAGACGTCTTAACCATTCGGCCACGCGTGCTTCTTGTCATACAATGACTAAAGAGGGCTAAGGTGCTTTTGGTCCAGCTTTACGCATACAAATAACGTTTATTCTAATCTAAACCTTTTTAACAACCGTTTAAACAATTTGGTAAATAGAAAAGCGAAACTAATAAGAATAAAAATTACATAAATTAAAAAAAAAAAGAAAAATAAATAAACAAAGGGTACACTTGCCGTGGCGTGGGCTCGAACCAGGTACTTTTGTTCGATTGTTTATTGACCGGACGTCTTTACCAGCTAGACCACCATCAAAATGTATAAAAAAAAGTCACTTTCTCTTAAAATATGGGTATTTCTTTCCTAAATTTAAGTAAGAATTTACCATTATTTCAAGAAAAAAAATCAAGAAAAATTCGCCATTAATTGAAGAAAAAGTGGGATTCTTCCTCTTCTTCATTACAAAAAAAAAAAAAAATTATGGCGAATTCCTTAAATTGTAGGCATTTTTTCTATAATCAAGAAAATATTTCTTAATTCAATGGCGTTTTGAAATCACGGGCGATTTTCTAATATTTATGGTGATTTTTTTTTTGAGTGTATATTTTAAAAAGCTGTTTTTGGCATTATCGTAAATGCACTAATATATTATAATACTAACAGATCATTATCTTTATGATTAACTATAAAACCCTCTTAATACTTCTTGATTAACTTAATATACAATAAACTTCAAGTGTTAATTTCAAACTTGAGTTAGGCAAGTTAATTAAATGGAAATTTCTGAAAAAGCCACTTGCTGAACTAAAGACAAAGTTCCTAAGTCTTCATATGCTGATTCAATTTGATTCTCCACACATTCTTAATAAGCTTGATGCGGCACACACTCTTCAAGAGCAAAACTCTCAAGTGGCCACTAGAACACCAACATAATTTGGCTGCTTAAAACTTTAACTACACACTCGTTCATATATTATAACACTCGGGAAACTTTCGAATTGAGGGCTGACCGTCACTGCCTCCGGGTCAGCGTGTGAAATGGGTAACGCCTCCTTTTATAATAAGATTAAACCGCACTTTGGGAGGGAAACTACAAGATGGACGAGTTCCAGATCCAGATCGGACCTGGACTTATTGAGGCGTCAAATCAAGTTAATTAAAAACGGCAAGGAAGTCGGGTAATCGCACCGGATGTCGCACATTAGCCACACTCGAGGGCACATGGGGAAGATGGAGATGGAGATGGGAGTTGGAGTCGGTTGCGGAGATCCAGCCAAGTGTAAGCGATTTAATGATTCGCAAATAAAGCCAAGACCCGCGCCAAAAATATTCGCATACTCCGCGAGAGTCTGTGTTATGATTGATGGCAATATGCTGACGAAAGGATTGAGGGCTTTGTTTGGGTTAAGTGGAGCGTGAGCCAGGGCCAAGCACGGGTTAAATGCAAATACGGATATGCAAAAATCAATCGGGAAATATTATTATCAAACGCATTGCGGTTTGGGTTCGGGTTTGGGTTTGGCTTTAATTGCAACCCGCTGGCTGGCCATGAATTATCCTGCGGAAATGTCCTGCCGCTGGGAGCACGCCCTCCGCTGGCGTTTGTTTGTACTCCCGAATTGCCAACGCATTATTCGCACTTGACTGATCAGGCAATAAATAATACATACAGCTGCGGTCAAAACAATAGGGGTTTTCAGAGGAGGTCTTAAATTATATCTTAGAAAGGAAATGGTAGACTGTATGATTTCCTTGGAAGCTATGTTCCTAAATCTAAGACGAGTTTCCAAAGATCTTAAGTGAGTTTTTTGGTTAGTACACTTCTTTATAGTTATAAGACGAGATCCCAAAGATTTTCAGTCTTTATTAAATATTATGAACTGATTCTTGGGAAAATGAAATATTTATTTCCCCCCAGCTGTGCAGGATCGGTTTTATAGCTTTAAGCATCAACAATGGAGGCGTAGCCCTTCGATTAATTGATAACCCGTTGCTTAGTTTGCATACTCAATTTGGCTCTTTGTTTCCTTTATTGCAGAGTCCGCGTGGCATGCAACCGTGTAGTCCAGCGGGAGAAGTCGCCATGATGCCGCCGTCGAAGAGTCCCGTGATGGAGAGCGCCGCCTCCGACCAGAATCCTGGCCAGCAGAGTAGCCAGCAGGAGGAGCAGAGTGCCAAGCGGGCGTGCCCGTTAAAGTTTTCGATAGCCAAGATCATGGAACCAGATCACAGGCCCAGTCAAGTGTCGCATCCACCTCCAATTCCATTCCCCACCAATGATGATGAAGAGGATGAGGATCCGGAAATTGATGCAGATTCGGAGCGCTCTTGCAGTCCCATCGAAGTGATCAGCTTGGATCATTCACCTACGGCCACGGTGAATTATGATTCCGCTTTTAAGAAGTATGTGCCGGGTCCCTGTTTGGGCGCCACTTCATCGGTGACCTCGCCTTCGAGCACCGCTGCTGTGCAGCAATTTGTGAGCACCCGCCACCAGGAGCTGCTGTCCCAGTATCCCCTGCTGTACTACGCACCCAATCAGCTGATGTGCGCCGCAGCTGCTGCCCAATATGCAGCGTTGACCGCCCAACAACAATCGCTGGCCAGTGCCGCCCACCTGAGCAGTTTCACCGCCTCCCTGAATGCCAGTCTACATCACTCTCAGTCGCTGCGGAGGAATCTTGGTCATCCTTTGGCCGCCGCAGCTGCTGTGGCTGCAGTGGCTCAATCCCAGGCAGCTGTGCCCAATCTTCAACAGAGTCTGGAGAAGTCACCAGTGGCCCCGAGGACAGCTCAAAGTTCGGGATTGCAGGGTAACCTAAAGAGGAAACGATCGCCGCAGGAACAGGGATCTGGTGAGGTGACACCACCGCCGCCGGCATCGACTGCCACATCCTCGGCCGGTGGCGCACGATCTCGTTCCCCCTCGCCCCAGGGATCCATCGAGGACAGCAGTCCGGGATCGGCGAGTGGGGGAAAGCCCAAGACTTTCTCCTGCCTGGAATGTGGCAAGGTGTTCAATGCCCATTACAATCTCACCCGCCACATGCCCGTTCACACGGGAGCCAGGCCATTTGTGTGCAAGGTATGTGGCAAGGGATTCCGCCAGGCCTCGACTCTCTGCCGGCACAAGATCATCCATACCTCGGAGAAGCCACACAAGTGTCAGACCTGCGGCAAGGCCTTCAATCGCTCCTCCACCCTCAACACCCATTCTCGCATCCATGCCGGCTACAAGCCCTTCGTTTGCGAGTACTGCGGCAAGGGTTTCCATCAGAAGGGCAACTACAAGAATCACAAGCTAACGCACAGCGGAGAGAAGGCCTACAAGTGTAGCATCTGCAACAAGGCCTTCCATCAGGTGTACAACCTCACCTTCCACATGCATACGCACAACGACAAGAAACCGTACACTTGCCGGGTGTGTGCCAAGGGATTCTGCCGGAACTTTGATCTCAAGAAGCATATGCGAAAGCTGCACGAGATTGGTGGCGATCTGGATGATCTGGATATGCCATCGAGCTATGACAGGAGGAGGGAGTACACCCGCAGGGAACCCCTATCCTCGGAATATGGTCAGGCGTCGGGGCAACTGACGCCAGACTCGAGTTCTGGTAGTATGTCACCACCAATCAATGTGACCACTCCACCGCTATCCAGCGGAGAGACCAGCAATCCTGCCTGGCCCAGATCCACCGCCTCACAGTATCCAGCCGGAAGCTTTCACCATCAACTCGGGGTGGCGCCACCACATGATTATCCCAGTGGTTCCGCCTTTCTGCAACTCCAGCCCCAGCAGCCACATCAGCCAAATCCGCAACATCATCATCATCAGCAGCAGCAACAACAGCAGCAGCAGCAGAGACTCTCGGAGACCTTTATAGCCAAGGTGTTTTGACAGCGATACTATGCGGACAGCTTGAACAGCTCCACGGGTTCGACTTCGACGACCAGCTCCACGGTGACCACCACCACAACGACCATATCATCCATGGCCACTTCGAGGAGTGATCTACTGATCGACTGACTGCAGTTTGTGGCAGCGGCAGCCGCTGCTAGCAACTCGAATTCCGGGCAGGATCCCGGTGAGTCCCCATCCCCGGAACTGGGATGTACGGCCTTGGGCAGTGCTGTCCGGGCTTTGAATGGACTCTTGTAAGGCAGCAGAAGGACTCTGAACCCACCTCTTTCTATCCCGATGAATCTCAACCTCAACCGCCACCAAATGGTTTCAACTTGTGCAATACCCTCCCAATCAGAAGATGATGATGGCGATCACCCGAACCGCTCAACACATTTCTCTAATCCAAACTCTGTATATAGTATATCCCTAAGAAGTCCCATTTAAGCAAATCTCTCGATGTATAGATGTAGTTAAAGGATTTACCTAGTTAGTCACGAATGTGTGTAAACGCTCTGAGTTCTGTGTATATCGGCTACACAGATCCTCTAGAGCACGTTTCGATATAGGATATGATGTTTTTGGCTTTGTGTTAGAGCTTTTATGGGATCTATCAACCAAAATACATAATTGTATCTTAGAGTTGTACTAGATATCTGTACTGTACGTATATCCCTAAGTGTCTGTGTAATCCAACGCAAAAGTAATGAAATTGAGCAACATTTTAACGATGATCGATGAATGCATTGAATTTGTTTAGGATTTAAGTGATATTATTGATAATGTTTAAGCAATAAATCAATTCTTCAATTATTAAATGGTATGGCTGTTTTAATTGGATAAGGAAAGTAAGTTGAAAACTCCTTTAAGCTTTTGAATAACCCCGCAACATATATGCAAATAACTGAGCAACGGTATGGGCTGTCATTGAGTTTGTCTCTTGTGATTTTGAAAAAATGCAAATGGATGCGAAATGAAAACAATTATTGCTGCATTACTCGTGCCCAAGAGTCGCGTTTAATGGGCTCTAAACTGTCGCCACGTCTGCCGCATGACATTTGCAACTTAATTAGTGGCGACCAGCCCCCACTTTTCCATTTCCACCGCCCACTCGGGGAAAACTCCGCAGGTGGCAGGACCAGGCACACGCCTCAATCATTTGCATAGCACTTTGATCTGTGGCTCGAGAAAAGACAAGGAATCCCGGAGTGGAAATGGTCCTGCAAATGGGTATGGGTCCTTGTTCTTGAGCCTGCTCATAAAAATGCAACAAAAGCGTCCTTATTAGTCAGGCAGCTCAATTAATAGGGAAGGAAAACAGACGTAAGTATTTAAATCTTAACAAACATATGAGTAAAGATCTCTGAAAATCCTAAGCTCATCTCAAAAGTAATGTAGCATACATTTGTGGAATATTACAAATAATAATAACAATGAAAAAACAAAAATATCACCTATAGGTACTATATTATTATAATAATAATAATATATAATAATATTATGATTTGATTATATCCTGAATTACACAGATATGATTAGACATGATATTAAGTAAAGAGGATGCTTAAGAATGCCCAGTAATTGATTTCAATAATATTATTTAACCCAAGAAAAATACCCCAAATGAATACTTTCCTTTACACAATAAATAAATATTTTTCAACCCAATGCAAATATTTATATTCATTTGGATAGCTTTATATAATTCATCTGAGTTTGATTTGGTGACATCGGACTATTGTAAAGCTTTAATACCTCCGTCAGGAACGACGCATGTGATGTCCACTTGAGTTGACATTTTTTCCCCCTTTCTTTGGCCATATCATATGAATAATTCAAAACGAATTGAATATCCAAATGGGAACGAAAAGCGAAATCGAGCGATGCGACTCGATGTTTTTTTATGCAAATAATCAAAGACGACTGACGTACAGTGGGCCCTCAGCATATGCTCAAGCACACCGCCCACTGGCAGAAGGGCAGTGTCATTCAGTTTTGACAATCCGGCAGAGAATAGCTTCTGGTTTTGCCCAATTTTCGATGATGACTTTTGACACCGCCTCGCGGCGTTCTTTTGAACCCGATTCCTCGATTCGTATCATCGTCGAAGGCCAACCCCCAATTGTGAAATGAATGTGAATGGTCCTTGAGCTGTTGTCATGTTGGCCGCTCCCCCAGTCGATTCCTTTTGATGTTTGCCTTATGCACGCCCAGTCGGCCATTCGAGTATCCATCTACCTATCCATCTATTCGAAGTGCCCCCCCAAAAACTCCCCCTACCTCCCATTGCCCCTTTCAATCGCACTGACAAAAACTGACTTATTTGGCTAATTGAACGCGGTTGGTCGGTGTGGCACCACTTCATGCAGATCTAGCCCGGATAATTCCGCACTTTCACCACTTCTCGACCCGCTTTTGCATAACACTTTGGCACTCCGGACAATACGATTTGGTCACCCAGCCGGATGACATTAATTAAGCTAATTAATGACTATTGATTTGCAGTGGGCTGTGGGAAAGTTATGATTTCCGCCCAAAGGAAGCTGCTAATAAGAGGTTATGTGGGAAACTACGAAGGTGTCAAGGAACGCTAGGAAATTATATTTGAAACTGGAAAAAATATTTCATTGGATTTAATTTAATAAATAAAAAAGTGTTTATAATAATACTCAATAAGATTCATCAATCTAAATATTTTTCTTACTTCTAAGGGACCTCAAATTTTAGTTTACATTTGTTTAAGGAAACTATATAGAACTGTTCTAAAGACCCAGAAAGAAAGAAATAATTAATTGCATAATCGAGTAATCAAATTAGGTATCTACATACTCGTATAACAACAGTATTGTAAAGGATAGGTTATTCTTAATAAAATTTCTTTTTTGTTCGTAGAGAAACCCTTATTTTAAAATATATTTTCTGAATAAAAATTTTTGGAATCTTCTTTTTAGAGAATAGTATGTTTGTTGCGCTAAAATTACTTTTTTCTCTCACTCTTTAACATCTAATATCAATTTCAGCCATATTTCATTTTAGGTGTCTAAAACTATGCAGGGAATAAATTATTGTAGTCTATCTGAATGAGTTTATTCAATTTAAATATATTGTTGCATACTTTTTGCCACCTTAAATTACATTTAAAAGGGATATGCATTCTTGTGCTCTGAATAAAAATCTTGGGATCAACTTTTCAGACGATAGTATCACACCTTAAAATAAACAAAAATAATATCAACCTCCGCCATATTTCATTTTAGGTGTCTAAAAGTATGCAGTGAATCAATAATTTTAGTATACCTGAATGATCTTTGCATACTTTTTGCCACCTAAAATTACGTTTAAAAGGGATATGAATTTTTGTGCTCTGCGCTTAAATCAGTTTTTTATCTCATTCCATAAAATAAAAATAAATTATAAAAACGTTCGCCATATTTCCGGCTCCCTTTCGATACCCCCAAGAACTGTTTACCCGCCATAAACAATATCCGCAGGCGCCATAATTTTTTGTGTAGCCTCCTGAAATAAGCATAATATTTTCGTCCTTTGTTTTTAGCATATCAATAACTCTTATCGCTGGTTTGGGGGCCCCGTGGCACGCCCCTTCGATTGTGCCACAACAACTCGAGCACGCAACAGGGGCGAAAGCATGGAAATAACCAAAGTACTCGAGCTGCTCGCTCTGCACAATACAAAATTATAATCCAATTCCATTGTCCGACATCTGGGGGTGGGAGGTGGGAAAATACGGCAGACAACGACTGCGCTTATCACCCGAAATGAGGCAGAACAATAGGGACACGAGATGGATGCACCGGAGGGGGCAGGGATGTAAGTCGAGCGTGAATTGCAGCATAATCTCTTCCGGATATGATTACGCCACCAAGTGCGAGGAATTGTCTGGCCCCTGGTGCTGTGACCTATCAGCTTTGTATCCTCGCATCTTTGCGTACCCATCCCCGCATTCTTATATCCTTGTATCACTCGGCTCAGCTGAGTTCATCTGCTGTGATTACAATTTCTTAAAAAGCTAAAGCTGCATTTTCCTTTTAATTACAAGGCACCCTCGGCACCTCTTAATGGCCATATAAGTGTATCTTGTGCGATGTACAATATGCTGGCTAAAAAAAAAAGAGAACAAAACAACACTTAACCCACGTTAATTGTCGACTCTCTGAACTATGACATGATCTCCTGCCACTCCTACACACCGAAAGTGTCCCATGTCAATGGCTGGTTGCCATTAGAAAAAAGAGGAATCCACGGGGCGCTCAAGATGCCAGTATTTCAAAATTCTATATGAGTACTTGTAGTTTATAATCTAAGGTGGAGGATGGGTCCTGTGCACTGGCAGAAATTCAGCTAGGTCTATATAAAGACGAATGATATTGCATGACATTATCATAATTAAGAAAGTTGTAGTCTTAAGACATCCAACTTTGACTAACTTGTCCATTGTAATAATATCAAATATTTAAAACTGGGAAAATTTATTTCAAATCAACATCCTATAAGCTGAAAAGATCCTGACTACCTTCGGTTTTACTTCCCTGCCTTATTGAGCTATCAACTTTTATTGACAATATTTTAGAAAACTTTGATAACTCAGCAATTCTTCTAATATAATTCTGCTTTTAGAAAAATACTTAGTTTATGGATTTATAAACAATTACACATTGCCCAAAATAAATCTCAGACAGATAATTCCAAGGATTTATTGCGATATTCCTGTCTTTTCTGATTAATAACCCTCATGGGTCAATGAATTCATCTGAGCTTTGCGAGAGAATCGCAGCTTATTTCTGACCCTTCGATCCCATTTTTGAAGAAGAGCAGCTGACTCGGGTCAGATTCAGGATGGGTGGGTGATTATCTAGTTTGGGTTTTTGGGTTCCGTGGTTTTCTTTTCCGGGCAGCAGTTGCTCGACTTCCCAGCGAGAGGCGAGAGGCCGGAAAAGGATGACAATATGTGATGGGATCGGCGGGCTGCTTGGCAACACATTGAAATGCATTCGAGTCGACGTAACGCGGCTCAATTAGTGCGGTTCAGCGACTGCCAATGCAGCTTCTCCTGTCCTCCAGTCCACCGAGTCCTCGGAGTCCTCGTCCTCGTCCACCTCCTGCGATTCTATTGCTCCAGCCATTGTGCGCCCGTTTGCCTGGCTTTATGTCAACTTCTTGCACGCTTATTCACACCTGAGGACAAAACCGCCCTGCAGGTTTTTGCTGCCTGAAGAGTCACGAATGCGCCGCCAACTTCCGAGATTTTCCACGCCGCATTTCCACATTGGCGGGCAGCGAGGCGTCGCTCATTACGTGAAAAGCTGCTGGCTAGGATTCGCCTACACTCTATTTATTAGTTTGGCCTGCTTCGGTGCCTTTTCACTAGATAAAATGAAAATCTAGAGAAAACCTGCAACGAGAATAACAGAAGAAGACTGAGAAAATAATGCTGCATTTCAGGAGCGCCAAAATACTAATAATAAAGTTATTTCAAGATTCTGAAAGTCATAGGGGGTTCCAAATAAATCTCTTTATACGCCACTTTAGGTGTCTAGAAGTATGCAGTGAAAAAAAGAGAACCTTCAGAATTAAAAAAAATTATTGCATACTTTTTGACACCTTTTTTTAAACTTACCTTTAGTCACCTATTCAAGGGGTTTCTAATTTCTACACATCTTTTTATGGGATAATATCTTTCCAAGGTTTTTAAATTACCAAAATACCACATTGACTTGAAAATATGACACCATTAGGCTAATTTTAAAAAATATACTTTTATTTCAACTATGATTCTGAGAATTTTCATTCACACAATATATAAGCACACAAATATACGTATACGTTTATATACACCTGCACGATCTTAGGAACTCGATAAAATGCAGTGTTGCAAGTTTGGTAGGAGGGAGACGTTGGACGAAAATGTCTTCGAAGATCCGCGGGTCCGTCGGATGTTTGTCAGCAAGGTCCTTTTGATAGTGGCCGTGAGTTTGGAGTCAATACGAGTTCAGATCGATGCCACTAATCCAATCGCCTATTGCAGATTAACTTGGCTTTTACATCTGGGGCCATGGCGATTTGCATAACGACTCGGCCCATCAAGCGATTTATAGAAAAACATTGGTATATTGGTCTCATCGCCACGATCATCATATTCATAATTCACATTATGATGTGTTGCTTCCGCTACCTCTTCCGACAGTCCCCAATCAAATGGATTTTGCTGGTAATATACGTCATATGCCATGCGATACTAGTCTCCTTTCTGGCAGTTAGATTTTCTCCTCTCCTGGTAAGCCAGGTTTCAGTGATATAAAGCCGAAACTTTACTCACCTTCCTTCTTGCAGGTTTTGCTGGCCTTCGGAGTATGTGCTGTCCTAGTCGCGGCGTTGTGTATCTTCGCAAGATTTGCACCTTGCGATTTTACCTCGTGCTACACATTCATCATGTTGATTGGTATTACCCTGATTCTTTTGGGCATATTAGGATTTTTTTTCAGAAGTGTTCGAGTGGTATATTTGGGCTTCGGCGTATTCGCGTATTCCATATTCATAGTTTATGACCTTCAGTTGATTATAGGGGGCAAACTTCACAAAAGGCAGTACGATGAATTAGATTATATTATTGCTTCCATGACCCTTTATCATGATGTAGTACACCTCTTTATGTTCATTCTGCGACTCGCTGGTTGGATAGATGATGACTAGTACATTGTCATATAAATTAAAGTGAATAAATGCGGATAAGAAAATATTGAAAATGTTGATAGAATTCTCATAGGTAACCTGCTTTCGTTCATAGCTTTCAAATTGGAATAAAGGGAAAACGTTTTACTTGTGCATTCTCTATGTAGAAACAACTATTTCAACTATTCCAACTATTTCCTGTCAAATCACTATATAAACACACCGATACACATATACGTATACACTTTCACGATCTTTTGGACTTGAGAAAATGTGTAACAGGAAGAGGAGGTATGAGACCAACGTGTTTGAAGATCCGGCCGTCCGTCGGATGTTTGCCACTAAGGTCCTTGCGATAGTGGGCGTGGGTATAGACTACTATACGTAACTTGTAAAACAAACTAATCCGATTGCCATATGTAGATCAACTTGACCTTTACCACATTGGTAATGACGATTTGTATATTGGTAAGACCCATTAGGCGATTCTTACAAATTAACTGGTGGATTTGGATACCCGCCGCTGTCATCATATTCATAATTCATATTATGATGTGCTGCTTCCAATCTCTCTTCCGAAAGTCGCCCCTTAACTGGGTGCTGTTGGTAATATACGTCATATGTCATGCCGTTTTAGTGTCCTGCTTTGCAGTTCTATATCGTCCTCTTCTGGTAAGCCATTGACATATCGCCGAATCCTAAATCGTATTTATTTTTGCAGGTTTTAATGGCCTTTGGAGTATGTGCCATCCTGGTCGCATGTCTTTCTGTCTTCGCAAGGATCGCACCATGCGATTTTACCGCTTGCTACACATTAATTTTCATCTTCGGTATTACCGTATTAGCTCTGAGCATACTAGCTCTCTATCTCAGAAGTGTCTATGTGGTATATTTAGGCTTTGCCGTGATCGCATACTGTACATTCATTGTTTATGATCTTCAAATGATTGTAGGCGGCAAAATTCACAAGCAACAGTATGATGAATCAGATTATATTATTGCTGCCATGTGCCTTTTCAATGACGTCGTTTACCTCTTTATGTTCATACTAGAGATCGCGGGTTTGATAGATGAGGACTAGTAATATTGTCATTTAAATTAAAGTGAAATTATGCGGATAAAACAGTATTTAATATGCTGATATAACTCGCAAAGGTAACCTGAGCTTATTTACAGCTTTCAAATTAGAATTGTGGGTAACACTTTTCCTTGTCCATTTTCTATGTAACTTTATATTATCAACTATAACAAATAATGGTTAAGTCACTTGCATCATTTCAAGTAATATTCATTATGGAATAATATTAATATTAGATTTAAATAATAATACATTAATTAAAATTTTAATTTTTTTTTTTAAATTTTAAGATACTTTTCCAACTTTAGTTCCTTTAGTTTCCTGTCATATTACCATACAACACCACTAACACACATATAGAACAAATACACTACCACGGTCTTTTGGATTTGATAAAATGTGTAACAGGAAGAGGAGGTATCGGACCAACGTGTTCGAAGATCCGGCCGTCCGTCGGCGGTTTGTCACCAAGGTCCTCACGATAGTGGCCGTGAGTATAGACTATTGTACATTTGTAATTTGTTCATCTTATTCGATTACCTTATGCAGATCAACTTGACCATTACATCATTGGCAATGACGATATGTATCTTGACAAGCCCTATTAGGCGATTTTTAATAATTAACTGGTGGATTCCAATTCCAGCCATTGTTATCATATTTATAATTCATCTTGTGATGTGCTTCTGCCCAGGTGTTTTCCGAAAGTCGCCCATTAAATGGATTTTGCTGGTAATATACGTCATTTGTCATGCCATTTTAGCGTCCTGCCTTGCCGTTCGTTATCGTCCGCTTCTGGTAGGTCAGTAATCAATGATATATCGACAGATCTTAATTCGACTTTCTTCTTGCAGGTTTTAATTGCCTTCGGAATATGCGCCTTCCTGGTCGCCTGCCTTTGTCTCTTCGCAAGATTCGCACCCTGCGACTTCACCTCGTGCTACACATTAATATTCATCTTAATTCTTGCCTTATTAGTTCTGGGCATACTAGCCATCTTTATCAGGGGTCTCTGGATTGTGTATATATGCCTTGGCGTGATCGCATATTCTATATTTATAGTTTATGACCTTCAATTGATTATAGGCGGCAAAATTCACAAAAATCAGTACGACGAATTAGATTATATTATTGCTTCTATGATCCTTTTCCATGACGTCGTACACCTCTTCATGTTCATTCTACAACTCGCGGGTTGGATAGATGATGACTAGGAATGTTTTAATTTAAATTTACGTGAAATAATATAAATTAAATAACAATAAAAAAATTTAGTTCGTGATGTAAGCAGTCAAAAATTTTTGTGACTATTTACATATCAGTCAAACATCTGGACTTCCGGTCTTTTGCATGAACCTCTACCGGCATTCCCCCTGGAAATACTTCTGCAATTCGATATCATCCGAAATTTGTAAACGGCCATATTTATTATTGTTGATTAGAGGCAAAACCAATGAGAACCAGTTTGCCGAAGGGGATTTCATATTAGCATTATTATATTGTCCATTCCACTATACCTTATTGGATTGATTGATTCATTAAAAATAAATATAATACAGCTTTATGCACCATTATTTGGTGATTCAGTTTCCGAGCATTTCCCGTCATACAGATTTAACTGAGAACAAAAAATTATCTAGAAAATAAAACACACATATTCATTTCGAGAACAGAAGCATTCTTATAGGCGGCAAAATGTGCTGCGGTTTTAATATAGCTTGTTGCACTAAACCTCGCGAGGAAAATCCATTCGCTAATCCTAAGGTTAAGCGTCGGTTTATTTGGAGAGTGTTGCTCATATTGGATGTGAGTATTGAGTGTATTGGCCCCAGATCCAGATACTTATAATAAAACCATATTTTAGGGATCCCTGATATTGACCCTCATTCCAATGTTCATCTTCCAGTGCTACCCACCAGCCCTTTCTTATATTGCCGGTACATCGTGGCTCCTTGTCATTCCAGCCCTTATTGCATTTATAATAGTTCAGGCCTTCTTGTGCTTCGCAATGAAACTTCTCCAAAAAAGGCCCGTCAAGATTATATTCTTCATTATATGGATCATTGTCCATACCATCTTACTAACCGCGGTGGCAGTTTGGTTTAAACCGTGGGTTGTAAGTCCTTGGTTTGCTTTCTATACTCTAAGTTTTGATTTGTTCTTACCCGAACCAGGTTTTGATACCTTGCGGAATTTTGACGTTTGTGATCCTGGCTATGGTCTTATATTCGAGATTTGTTCCCTGCCAGATCGGCCATAAAATTCCGTTAGCCTACCTCGTTGCAGCCGGACTAGTTGTCATCATACATGCCATCCTTTTAGGTTTTTTATTCAAGCGTTTCTGGTTTCACATAATGGTTGGCTTCTTCGTAGTGCTCATTTGTATAATGGTAGTGTTGCTGGATATTGATCTAATAGTTCGCGATAAGACACGTCACAAGTTCGGAAAGCATGAATACATTGTGGCTTCCATGATCATTTTGCGTGACGTTATATGGATCGTTATCATAGTTATAATAATAGTATTAGCTACCTCAAATTGCAATTGCAGTGGAGATGATAGTGATCATGAAAGTCATGGAAGTGCCTCTAGTGGTTCTTCTGCTTCTAGTGGAAACGGAGGTTCCTCTTCTTAAATTTATATGGTGTATCAAAATTTATTTACTTTCTCTGTGATAAATTTAAAATATGTTTAAATATAGTTAAATAAACCAAATAAATATTTTTTGTCATTTATTTGATGGTGGTGATTCAGAGAATGTCGTCGTTGTTTTCATATCTGAGGGGTTTGAAAAAAGAAGATTAATAATTATGCTTGCAAACCATATAACCGATAAACGTACATGAGTTTTAAAAGCTTTATATTAGCAATGGATTGCAATTGCATAATAATCCTATTTGCGTAATTATTACTATAACTGAAAAAAATCTTGGTCATCTAGGGATGCGATATACACTAATAACTATCATCACTAGAGATAACAACGTTTCAGAAAGGGTGCCCTTTTTCTACAGTCAATTTAACAATACATTAAAAAATAAGTATATCCAAAACATCAAGAAAATGTGCGAGGTTCAAGAGCTGGCCGATGGCCTGTACCAGATGTTTAACAAATACAAAGAGTTGCGTAAAATCGAAATGTTACAGATCCTGAAACGTGTGCGCTGCTGTGATTGCGGCCACCAAAAGCGACTTAGAAAGGTTCAAAAGATCGAGTCTGGATGTCCAAAATCCAAAAACCAAGGTCGGATAAGCTTTCTCCTCATCGCCTGTTTCGGATTGCTTATCCTGATCTCCATTTATATGATCTACGTGGCTCGGCGATACAATCATGTTCGAGCCTATGGCAGCAACGCCTGCGGATCGACTTTTTTCTATACCTACACTGACTGCGATGTGTTCTACTAAAGGACTTTCAAATCTCACTTACCAAGGCTTATATTTTATTCACTGTTGTTGTTTTGTTTCTTGTGACGCGCCACAATATATATTTTCCATTCTTAAATATGTTTGTTTAGTTAAAAAAATGTGTAATTTATTTTATAGTTTATTCGTTTGGCTACCAAAACTATTACTTTGAAGTTTGTAAAGAGGGCAGTGTGATATTAAGAAAAGTAAATAGTACTTATTGGGTTGAGTTTTTGTGCTTTGATTTAAGGATATCCATATTAAACAGCACAAAAATATTTTCCTCATTGTTCATTAAATTTTTGTACTTTTTTTCGAAGGGTACGAGATACACATTCAGGTGATGATGGGACCTCGAAAATTTGGGTGGCTCAGGGCAAGGGCGTGTCTGGCACTTATTGGGAACGTTTCGTGCTCAACTTTTTCACCCGCTTTATGATTGGACGCTGCCGTAAATTATGCATAAAGCATAAATGCCAGAAAGAGACCAAACGACGGGACCGAGGGAGAGTGTTGGCTTTCGGGGTGAGTCCGTCATCGAACGTGGCCATTCAGTTTTATTGGGTTATCGAGTGGGGCAGGACCACCTCTCCTCCGCACCATCCCCAGTTCACAAGAGCTGCCGGTTGTTGGCCTAGCTCAATATTGACACACGTTAATTGAAGCCCAACGGCTGCCAAAAGTATCCGTATCAATGGCCATCCCTTAGCCGTGGGTCAGCGCCGAATTGAACAACCATTGCCTGCTCACATTGTGAAGTCGGAAAAGAGAGAGAAAGTGGGTTTTCGGGTGGGTGAAACTCTGGGGTGGACCTTGGTGACTTGTCATACGAGGGTCTCATCGAAAAAAATGAAATCTTGTACAAAAGCACATGTTTATTGTATACGTATTCCATATTTTCCTTTAAAATATTTCGAATGTATTACCTAAATTTCTCTTTATAAGAGGTTCACCCTTATTACCTTAATATACCATTATTTGGGTGATGGTCGCCCAGTTGATTGTGTTTCACATGTTGGGCGATTACATCACCTGCTGCGCGGTCATCTCTTTGATGGCTTTAATAAACCCTGATTGCCAAGGTAATTTTAAACGATCCGTAATTGACTCTTCGAAACTATACTTTTGTCCGGTAAACGTTGAATTATATTTTATTATACGGCTTTCATGTTTCTTAAATGTTACACAATACACAATTCCTGTCAGTTAGTTGTATTAATCGAGTGTGGATGAGAATATTATATTGTTCTGAATGCTGCCCATCCTATATACATGGTATGTTGAAAAGTTTGGTTTTTATGGAATCCTTCTGCCATATGAAAGTTACATATGGGTAGATCACTGGAGAATTAGAGTTCTGAGACCCCAAAATCTATGCTGCTAAATTAAGTAAAAATTTATGCTATAAGTCCAGGGGGTCTCGGTTTTTAGTTGTTAACAGAATGGGCGAGTTTGTTGTTAACAGTAATCAAGGGTGAAGAAGAAGAAACGTGGTTTAATGTTTTCAAAAATTATGCATTATGTATTATTTTCGCTTTGAATTAGTTGCTTTTTTAAGTTTAGTTTTGAGTTTAGATAGCATAATTAATCATAAGTGTTGTTTTTTCCTATTTGAAGTTAATTTTAATACATTTCGTTTAGTTGTAAATTATTGTAATGTAAATTTTAGGACTAATTCAAGTTCATATCTAGGTATATATGTATATTTATAGGTAGTGTTATAATTGTTGTAAATACAATCGAATAATTAACTAATACAGAATAATTACAGAACAAATTGTTTCGAAATAGATTTTCGCTCTGATCAAAAGTCTGAAATATCTTTGATTCTTCACATAAGCATTTCTCAGATAATCATTTGTGGTTATAAGTATAATGTGAGTAGGCATACAAATAGTATATGGGGTATAAATTTAAATTTTGGAATATTCAAATTTGACACACATTTCTCGTAGTTTTGTCTTTTACATTTTGACTGATTCACAAACAGAACATAAACAAAATAGAGAACATAAATCATACAGAAAAAAGGCATACACTAAGCGCACTTTGTAACAATTCGCTCGACACCTCTAGTCCGGACATTCCGTATCATCGTGGCCTTAAACTCAAATAACACTTAACACGTACAAAAACTGCTTATTAAACTTAACATTTACAGAATTTAATTCAAGCTAAACGCAATTGGTTGCCATATAAATTATTGTTAAAAGAAATGCACACGCGCACAAAAACGAAACAGATAAACTTAGCAGCTACGCAACTTGAAATAATTACTAAAGAAATAAATTTACATCATCTGTGAATGGTTATTAATTACAAATTAGTGGTTTGTTGCTTGATTTGTTTGCCATTCGCCTGGGTGTGTGGTTTCAGTTAAATAAATAGGTGCTGGTTAGTCCTCCTCGCAGATCCTCTGCCATCGTTTAGTCATTTAGTCTAGCCTAAGCTCTACACACTAGGAGTTATTCTCACAGTCATCGGGTTTGTGCTTCGTGCGTAAATTGCTCAAAAGATCGGCACAGTTGTTGACCATCATCAGATAGTCTCCGTTGTCAGCGCTCAGCTGATCGTGGTTCAATCCCCCACTACCACCCATTCCCAATCCCCCGCCCACTCCGCCTCCATTGTTTGTTTTCTCCGCTTGTCTGAAATGAAAGGAAATTGTTCATTAAATATCAAGTCTTGTATAATATTTAAAGATAGCTCTTTATGAATCTACAGCCTTTTTAACCGTGAAGTTAAATTATCATATGGTTAAGCTATATTATTTTTGTAGGTCAAATTATAACTCAAAGGTTTGGAATGTCTATAATTTATTATTGCTGATTTAAAAACTGCTGTAGTTGCATTCAGAACCAGAAATAGGAAGAAATCTATCCTACCTATTGGTGATGCTGCTTAGCATATTTCTGGACATAATAAGGGCGTTCTCCAGTTCCTTTAGCAGCAGCGAATTCTTCAGATTCGCATGCAGCTGCATAGCTGCCTGTGTAGTCGTGTAAAGTTTATTAATCACATTGTGTACTTGGGCTTCGGCTGTAAGAAAATATAAAAATTAAGTTTCTGTTTTGTATGATATCCGATATTTTCTTACGATCTGTGCCCTCGAAGTCCTCCGTGGAAGTCACTCCACTTCTCTGTTTGGCAATTCCGCCCGGGCTGCCACTATTGTTAATCATTAGCTTGCTCTTGTGATCAAAGCCCAAATTTCTTGGCCTTGGTGGCACAATGGGCTTGTTGTTGACAGTGCTGTTGGGCGTCTCCTCGGAGCTAGAGTCGTCCTGCATGGGTGTGGCTGAAGAGGATTCAAAAATATTATTTGGGTTTACAAGAAACTAGGATGAAGTGAACTAACCACTGCTGAAGTTTGGTGTCTTTCGACGATTGTTGTTGACATTGTTGATCTTGTTGCTGTACTGGCGACTGGCAGCTATGGGTTAAGTAATATGTTATTATAAGTGGATTTTCAATATTAAACAATATAATATACTTACCAATGGGTCCGTTGCTGCGTCCCTGTCCGTTGCTGGCACTACGCAAACGATTGCTGTCCTCGGGTTCGGAATCGCTCTGAAAAGATACACATAGTTATTTTCTATAATCCAACTGAATGAGATCCCAAATCGGTAAAACTTACACCGTGATTCAGAACGTTCATTGAGTTACTGGAGGCACCCAATCCGGTTTTGCCTTGCAAACTATTCCTTTTGCTGGCCGATCGCGAGACATTTCCATTTCGGTGCTGAACCTGCGGCTTCTGTGGTGTGCCATTCGATTTGCCGGCTATAAAAAGTTGTCAGAAATAACCAATTAGATATTTTGAAAGTAAAAACAAATATATTTAATCGAGGGTGCTTACGCTTGCCAAAGTTGCCCATGTGCAGGTCGCTCAGCGAGCAGGCGCGGCGTATGGAGGACTCCTCGATGGGCATGGGATTGAGCGTTTTGGGATTGCCTGAAAAGTGGGTCACAAATTAGTTGCGGTTCGGGTCATGCGATTATAGTATTTCTTGTGCTAGGATATCGAGATATGGAGGGGTGGTGGTCAAAAGGGTAAATAAAAACTATTAAATAACTGTGGGTGCGCAAATGAAGGTGGCGGTAAACTCAAGAGGCACAACAACCAAGGCGGAAATGGGGCTCAAACCTGGCTCCATCCTCAAAACAACAGTGGGTCCGATGTCATCGTGATCGGTGCTATCAGCAGGGATCTCTGGATTCGCTGTATCAACGCCCTCATCATCGGCTATCACTTCTTTGGCCAATTCCACACCCTGGCTATTGTAGATGCCAGTAAAATCGGTGCTCTCCAGAACATCGGGCAAACTGCAATTCCTCCGGATATTTCTGGCATAGGCACAAAGATCGGAGGCATCTTTGGAGGTCAGCTCCTCATCTTCTGTGGGCTCCTCCCCTCGGGCCAGCATGTCAAAGTTCATGGTCAAACTCTTCACATAACCCTTTTCCTTGGCATTGCAATTGAAGGGCCTCAACCGCGATTCGGTGGCCAAACGTATTTGCTCCATTTTGTTCTCCTCCATGGCGATTAACTTTTCAATAATATCGATCTTCTTGGCTATATTCTGGCACTGATGGCTTGTGGAGCCGCCTGCTCCTTTTCCCTTCCCACTTGCCCCTTTTCCCCCTTTTCCACTGATTTTCCCAGCATTGTCTAGGTTTTTCCTGTATTTTTCCCGCTCTTGCTGGATCTCATCTACCACTGCCTGCAGTTGAGGTTTGGTATAGAGTTTAAGAGTCTGCATATTTTCCAAATTCTCCGGGGCATTTCCGTTTTCCGCGAAATACATTTCAAAGCTGCGCTCACCATAATCACTGGGCAGGCTGCCCACCTCCATTTCCGGTGGCTCTTCCTCCCTGGCCTGCCGTTCCCTCTCCCTTTTGGCACTGGGCGTATACTTGATTTGGGAGACTGTATTAAAACGCACCGAGATCTTTGGCCTGTTCTTCTGCCTCACACTGGTGGCTCTTCGATTGCTTTCGCTGGTATCGAAACGGGAGACTTTCTTCAGACAACTTTGGGTTGCCGAACCTCCGGCCAGAGCCCCAGAACTCACTGAACTCCTCATCGCCGGCCTCCTCTGCTGATCCCTCTCGCGTTGCTTTTCTCTTTCGAATTTCTGCAAATTATGCTCAAATTGCTGGACTACACTGGCAGTTCTGGACTGGGATTTCTGCTTTTGCTGCTTCTCCATGTGGCTCAAAGTGCTGATTAGATTCTGTGGTTTGGCCGGCACTGGGGGCTTGGGTTTAAGGGGTTTCCTCACAAAAAGATTATTTCCCGATTGCATGGGATTCGAGTTCCTTTGCTGACGCTGTTGGGCAAAGTCCGTACTCAAAGACTTGTTAACACCTGAGTTATATTGCTTGTTCTTCGAGCGCAGAGTGGGTATATTTTCAGTGGCCTGAACCTGAGCTATTCTCGGATATGTCTTCGAACTGGGCAGTGGCTTTAGTGGCTCCAGATTGTAGCCGGTGACATCAAAGCTATCCGTTGTCGTAGCATGCTGTTGTCGCATATAGTAATCGAAGCTGCCATAGGCATTCGGGCTATTCCCGTAGGACTTGGACACTGGTCCGTGGATGATAAAGTTCCGGATGCCAGCATGACGTTGCTGAAGAACAGCCACCTGAGTTTGGGGATACTCCAGGGGAGCACTCTGGCAATCACTTTCGTCGGATAGAACGCTTTCCAAACTATTGCAATAGCTTCCAGGACCATCGCCATCGGAGAGCAGGGAGAGTGACTCCTGACTTTGCTGTCCGGTGAGGAAGAAACTGGCACTGGAGTGCCGTTGCGTCTCCAGAAACCGGGCCTCATCCAATCTCCTCTGGCTGGCGGCATATTGCTCAGGTTGCAGGATATCCGAAAGGGATACTTTCCTCTCGCATTGATAGAACTCCCTGTAAACATAATACTGTGTGGTTCTACCCGTGGGTGTGGAGTCACCAGTGGAACCCAGTCCTCCCAAGTTTCGCAGATTCGCTGGCATCGAGTACGAAGCTGGTATACTGGGTTCATCCAGGTCTCCATACTTTCGGGTGATCTCATCAATCATCTTTTCCGTATCAGCATGGATCATATCCAAAATAGTTCTTGCATCATCTGCATAAACCGAATGTCTTTTGGGTTCACCAAGTAGAGCTCCTCTTTCATTTCCCTCAGCGGACCATTCTACCTCTTCGTGGACCGGAGATACTGGACAGGATTTGTAGTGCTTTAAAATACTAGGTGTACGTCTATTATTCCCAGCTGGATTTCTTTTAGCCCTCTGTTGTTGCTGCTGCTGCTGCTGTTGGTGATGATGTTGCTGCTGCTGGGAATGTGAACGCATCACAGATGAGGATCCCGCTGCACATCCACCAAATGGAACTCCAGGAGGTGGATGGATCTGATGAACCCCCACATGATGTGGATAAGGAGGATAGTGCTGTTGAACCTGTCGCATGGTTTGGAAGTTCTGTTGCAACTTGGATTTCGGGGCGGCACAATTGAAGAATTGCTGGGAAGATGGGGGAGCATAGTGCTGATGTTGCTGCTGGGTTTGCGGAAGTTGCTCCTTGGTTATTGGATATTGCTGCTGCTGCACTGGTTGCTGATGTTGCTGCTGGGTATTTTTAGTTGCAGCAGTTGCTGTTGTGTTTTGGGAGCTAATACACTGCGAAGTGTCATGGGAAGCAACTAATGGGGTTAGTCAAAATATCGTTTAAGGGGCATAGTATTTATCAAAAATAGTATTGCATTACATTATTTTTACCACAGAGATCGCAAATGGGAGAGCAATATTTAAAAAGAGAGATAGACAACAGAGAGAGCAAACAACGGGAGAGAGAGTTTTTGGTTAAATTAGCCTACTTTCCAACTTGGAGGGGATTTCAATTAGGTTTAACTGGAGGGGTTCCCTAAATCCTTATCTCTTACCCGGCTTTGTGTAACGTCCTGGTCCTCCGCCCACATTCCTTGATCCATCCAAATTGGCAGCCAGACTCAGGTCCGATATGCTATGGCTTCCCCGAAGGGGTCTATGGCCTACCTGTGGGTCAAAAAATATATTATTAACTATGGGTATCTAGTTCCTAGTTTTAATTAGTACTTTTAAATCAACAACAACCGGTTTTTTGTATTAGTCGAAGGCAAAATGTAAATGGTGCATAATTTATGGGAAAGTAACTAAAGAAAATCAAAACTTGTTTTAATTATAAATTATTTAGAAAAACATATTTATTCACATAATGACCCTCAAAAAAATTTTATACATCTTAATCTTTATAATACATAGGTGAACGGCTGATCTTTGAGTGAAGATTTCGGTTTGAGTTAGTGGTGTGAGTGGTTTTCTGGTTCCTCAAATTGCTTGAGTGGTGTTTAATGGAGTGAAAGGGTGAGGGGCCTCGCACATCTTAAGCTCATTCGGGTTATGTGACCAAGCAAGTTTCTTTTATAATCGCTAGTTTGGGCTATTTTTAGAAAAAGTCGAATGGTGTAGGATGTTGATTTTCCTTACTTCACCAAGCATCGGTGGTTCAGTGGTAGAATGCTCGCCTGCCACGCGGGCGGCCCGGGTTCGATTCCCGGCCGATGCAAAACAATTTTTTTATTTTTAAACAGAAAAATATTTTGTATACTTTTAAATGCAAAAATACTTTTTGTATTTTTTAATGCAAAAATAATTGTTGTATTATTGTTTATTGTTAAATAATCCATTTTTTTAGAATACCTTTTAAGGTAGTTAATTTCGGAAAAAGGGTTTAATGTTATTTAGTTTTGGAGTTTCAAATGTTACTTGTTTTTAAAGGTATTGTTTTGATCAAATATATTTGAAGAAAGTGGTTTCTTTATGGGTTGAATATATATAAAGTTTCTTTGAGTGAATATAGCGTGTAATCTTTCTCCCGTTAGTGTCAAAGCATTATGAAAATATACAAATCTGAAGCATCATTAGAAAAGCGAAACTTTCTTTAGAATCCAACATAAATCGGCTCACCTCGGCTATAGCATTCAACCTTGTGTTGCCATTTTTGCGCGTACCCTAAACACACAAAATCGGGCAGGGGTTTTATTTTTATTTTTTTTGGGTGCATGTGTTTTTTGGGTAGGGGGTTGGAGATTGGAGGACAGACACCAGACACCAAAAACAAATAATGGGACACATATAAAAATACAGAAGAATAACAAAAGAAAAACACAAATTAAATGGGAAAATAAAAGTGGGGAAAAAGAAAACCCGCAAATCGGAAAAGTCTGCACTGAAAGGCACACTCAAACGGAAATATACCGAGAGTAAGGTCATTCCTGACCCCCAGCACTTACATTCTCCAGTTGCTGCTTGACCTTGTTGATGACCTGCAGCAGCTCCTCCTTTTTGGTGCTCGTATATGACTTGGTGATGGTGGGCGGTGCGGCCACGCTTTTTCCATTTTCTGTATTGTGCTTGGCACTGATGCTGCGGCGACCTGGTAAAACGAAATATCCAATTAAATCCATAAAAAAGTTTCCTTCAAGGTGAAATAATATCTTACTGCTGCCACCCCGTTCCATGGGCGTTGTTAATCCCGGTCCCTCGGGCAGAGCAGCATGCAGGAAACTATTGCTGCTGCTCTGGGGGAGATTTTCCGAGCTACCGCCCAGCGTGGAGGCCAGCGAACGTTCTGCGTTTTCGGCACTTGGCGTGGAGCCTTCGTCCTCGGTATCCGAGGTTCCTGTTCCGGTTCCGGTGCTCGCCGTATGCGAACTTCCATTTCCACTGAGCGCCGCGGTGGTAAGCTGAAGCCCTGTCTTTTCAAACTTTTGACGGCGCACTGATTTGCGCAGCTCATCCTCGTTCATGGCCGTCACCTTGAAATCTCTGAAAGAAACAATCACAGATTACTAACTTGAATTTTATATTTATTTGTATATACTTACGTTGGCGTGCTGGGCGCCAGGTTGTTGTAGAACATTCCATGGTCGGAGCTAGTTCTCTCTCCATCGGATATATCCTCTACATCACCATCATGATCATGGGTATGGGTATCGAACCGCAGACCCGGCTTCAACCGTTTATCCGGCAGCTGGAGTCGCTGTTGGGCAGGTCCAGAACCCGTTGACATGGCACCATTGGAGGCAGAAACAGCCATCGAGGAAACGGAGGACACAGTGACCACCGTTCCATTGTTGCTGCTGCCGATAAACTTGAGTTCGCCCCTTCGCGTCTCCATACCGGAATCGATGGAGGAGTCCTCGCTCAAGTAGGTTTGATTGTATGTAATGTCCTTGGAGGAGGCACTATTGTAGTCAGAAGTCTGGACATTTACACCGCTATGACCACCTACAGAGGAAACGGTTCCCAGGGGACTTTCCGAGTTGGAGCGCAGGTCATCGGCCGTTTCCAATTGTGTGCTCCTCTGGGCCCATCTGCCCCTGGCTCGGGGTGCCAGTCCTGGGATCTGTTGACTCGGCGATGAGCTCAGATTTCCCATTGATGAAGCGGCATGCATGGCAGGTACATTTGTGGATCCACCACTGGGAGTGGGTATAGACAGGGCTCCACTATCCGAATCCGCTGCTGCTTTTCGCATCGCCCACTGAGGCAGTTGTCCCACATCCGAAAACCTCTCGGCCACTCCAAACTTGGGCTGCAATTGCGGCTGCTCTATTTCACTGGTTGGTGATTCCAGGGCGATACCATCAGGTGGTGAAATGGAAGCCAGGGGTCGTGGCAACGGAGCATGTCCCGACCTGAGACGCTGTTGTGACATCCTCGCCTGCATGGTCACTATCATATCGTGTGGCACTTGCCAGATGAAGATACAACCATCGCCGCTCGCCGAGATTAAGTGGCGGCAATCGTTGGTGAACTTTAGACCCGTAACCAGCTCGCTGTGACCATACATCCTCGCCATGCACTCACTGGAGTAGTAATCATATACAGCCAGGGTTTTATCCGTACACGAAGTGGCCACATAGATGCCACTGGGATCGAGGCTCAGTTTAATCAGACTTCCTTCGTCCGAATGGGAACCCTTGAAGGTTTTTGTTTGCTTGGCATTTTGGGTTCCGTAGACCCGCACATTGCGGTCCTGGCAGGCGGTCAAAATGTGCTTCGCATTCGAGTCCACCTCCATGTCATACAACGTCGTCTTTCCAGAGGTGTTGGTTCCCCTCATGAAGATGTTGCCCTGTGAAAGGAGGAGGAAGGTTTAATCATATACACCTTTGTAATATATTCACAAGACTCACCTGAAAACTTCTAAACATAATGGACTTGTCGGCTCCGCAACTAATCATCTGGAAATTGAGTCCAGCACCTACAAACTTTATCGAGGTGATTGAGGAGCTGTGATCATCCAGTGTTTGCAGCAATAAATAATTTTGGGCCACATCAAAGACATGGATCAGGCGATCCCTACTGGCACTGGCTAGCAACTTTCGGTCGATTCGCTCATTGGAGTACTCCAGACAAAGCACCTCCGACTCATGAGCTTCGATGGTGGTGAGCAGGCGCAGATTGACCAGATTGTACACACGTATATTGCCGCACCGATCTCCACTGGCCAGGTGTTGCAGTTCCGGACTGATCTTTATGCAACGTACACCATTCCTTCCATCATAAGAGGAATTTCCGGCCTTATCGAATAGCGAAGATCCCTGATCCTTGATGAACTGCAGCTCCTCATCGCTGTACACAATCTTCAGTAGTTCCTTGGAGTAGATGTTCCTTCGATAGATATCATTGTTGGTGCATCCATCCAATCCCCAGACGCGAATTGTGTCGTCCGAGGAGCAGGTGACGAAGCACTCCTCCGGGAGAGTTTGCGATGGCTCCCGCTCCACATTATATGGCACTGTCTCCACGCCCCAGATGCAAGTGGAGTGGTAAAGGAACGAGTGCGACTTGCCCACTCGTGAGATGTCGCGCAGATCCCAGATGTAAAGAGAGTGATCGTTGTAAACGCAGCTCACCTGGGGGAAAACAAATCGGAATGAGTATTTAAATATTTTAAAATTATTTGTAATAGCAGACCTTGCAACGCTGTTCATCGAAAACCATGGCGATGCAGTCGGGGAACTTGGCCTGCTGCGGCACCGACATGATGTGGTTGATCTGAATGCCCTGGGCCACATCCACGCCCAAGTAATGAGTCCTGGGCAGAGTTGTCACGTACTCCAGCGTGGCCGCATTGAAGATGCGAATGATGGACTCGGCGCAGCCCACCAGGATGAATCTCTCGTTCACGCAGATACAGTTGGCATTGCTGGTGCGGCACTGCACCCACTTGTCCAGCAGGCGGCGGGAACTGAACTCCACCAAGTGTCCTTGCCGCGTGATGGCGTACGTGCTCTCCGCACAGATACCCTTTCCGCAGGCCACCGCACAGAAGTCGTTGTCCCGCAAATCACCCAGAATGGCGCTCCGACCCATCAGGGGAATGGGATCCTTGTACTGCAAAATGGGATGTAAATCATTAGCTCTTGACCTTCAGCATAAAGTGGTTCATAAAATATTCAAAGCAGCAGAGGGCACATCCATGAGATGTATTGCATTTATATTTTAAAATTTATCTACAAATTATTCAGTATGAAATAACATTCTGAGCAGCAGAGCTTTTATATTAGTACTTAAAGTTAAAACAAATTTAATATGCCATTTAGACGTTAACTCAAGTTTGAAAGCAAAGAGTTTATATACAAATAGACCTATTTAGTCTAGCTAAAATGAAAAAATTCTGGGTTTTTTCATTTACAAATTTAAGGACCCACCTTTCTTCCTCCCTCCAGATACCAGTATTTGACATGGCGATTGCCCACGGTGACGAAGTAGCTGCCATCCTCGGCAAAACACACGGCAGCCACCTTGGAGCTGATTTTATTCGAGGCCATCTTGAGGTTGGCCCGCCAGTCGAACACGTTGACAATCATGTCGTGCTGGGAGCCCACCGAAACCAGGTACTTGCCAGTGGGCGAAAAGGCCTGCGGATAATTAGGGGGAATCATTAATTAAAGAAATTTAATCAAAATCAAATCAAAGGCACTCACCACACAGGTGACGGCATATTTGTGGTCTACAAACTCTGCAATAACATTGCCGCCGCTGCAGTGCTCCAGACTTCCGTTGGGAGTTTCCAGCTCCCAGACTTTGATCGCCGGATTGATGCCACACTCGCCGGTGGCCACATAGCGACCGCATCGCGAAAATGCCACGGATGTGAATGCTTTGCGGGAGGTGTTGACCAAGTAGGCCTGTGTCTGGCGCTTTGCGTTGAACAGCACCACCGTGCAGCTGAAAATTAAGGAAAATAATATTGTATTTTATAGTTTCAGAAAAAAATATTTGAAAGTTAGGATTGCATCTACTTAACCCACATTTAATGATTTGGTATACAAATTAAAATAATTATTCGACAATAACAAAAGTATGACTAATAAGTGGCATTGTTATTGCCAGCTGCTAAAAATTATTTTGTTTATATTAACTGAAAGCATTATAATACGCTGATGATTAAATGCCAAATTATTTAGAATGCTAGAAATGATATCGCATTTTAATTCGAAACTAATTTTATGGTTAGCATAATTAATCATCATAAAAAAATAATAAGTAATATTATTCCACTTCTTAGAACATATATACAGTTAATTTACAAATGAATTTATTTATCTATCTATTCATATATCTATTTATTCATAAAATAGCTTATTTTCATTTATTTGAAACCTAGTTTTAAAATAGTTATTTTAACCTTTTAGCTAATCCGTTAATTATAGTTTTAGAAGTTTTTAATCCTTCCACTCAGCGGTATTTAATCTGTGGGCCCCGGCCACTTAAATACGTCCTTGACCAAGGCTGGCAGTAAATGTTGGTTACACATTGAAAATGCCCAAGGATGTAGGTTCTGCTCTGCTTGGTTCCCTTTATTTTTCCAACCCACCACCTTCAACCTTTTCCTGCCCCCGTTTAACCCTCTGACGCCCGAAGCTAACTGCCTGCCCGACTGGCTCATTATTAAACTGCTCTTTGGCCTCCTCGGTTTTATTTCTGTTGTTTCTACTGTTGCTCGGTTAATGAGCGCATCACGCCCACATCTTTCACTTAGGGTTTATACACTTCTAGAAGGTGTATAGTAAACTGTGATATAAGTTTTGTTGGGTAACTAAATTAACTATAGGATGTACCCAACATCTTACAAAATTACTGGCAAAACGTATTGATATTTTATCCCTTTTAATTAAGAAATAATTATATAAAAACCTGCCATTTAATTATATAATATTAAAGACTTTACAGTGCATTTAAAGTTCGCTTGTAGTCCGCTGAAAAAATTTCCCTCAGCATTTTCTATTTATTCATGCTTGCAAATGCTACTATGCATACATGTGCGAGCAAAGAAAAAAAACTTTTTCATCGCAATGGAAGCGTAAATATGCCCTTTTTGTTAATCCACATAATTAGTAGAGTTCCTCGGCTTAATTTACTATAATTGAAATGTTGTCAGGATAAAGAAACGGCATTTAAACGAGGGAATAAAAGATTCCGATTTAAGAGAATAAAATAAATGGAATAAATTGACTTTTTGTTTAAAATTAATTGGCAAGGATTTTCGTTAAACCGTGATATCAACTATCATGGCATTTAATTTCCTGCCGCATTCCATTAACTCTAAGCTTTCGTTTAACCAATCTGTCATTGATAATTACAATTATTCAGTTTATTACGTATACGCCGCGTAATAGCCTATTGTGAGCTAAGCAAATATTCAGTGGCATATGCAAATCCTCTGCGGAAAAACAGCAATCGCGTTGACATTATGTCACTTTGGCCCCTCCCATTTTCCCCCCCGTTGGCTGTCACAGATTTTCCTCGTCGAGATGGGAAAAGTGCAGGCATGTGCGGCAGTTGAAGAGAGATTAAATCAACTATTTTCATGGGACTTATTTTTTTGAGACTGGCCAGGAAATTTAAAGCACAAAATTTAAAGGAATTGAATTTTACCCTGAGCCAAAAAGGAAATGAGTTGGATGGTTTCTGATGGTTTCCTTTTTGTGCGCTGTTGGATACGTAATATTCTTGAGATATATGAAACTTACCCAGCTGGATAGGCCAGCAGACCGCTGACTGGGGATACATCCAAAGCCGCATTGCTGCACACAGTCAGGCCCAAGACCTTTTTGAGTTTTATCTGCAAAGGGAAAAGGAAAAGCACAACATTAGACATTACATCACATAACTCGGGGTTCCAGTTTATTTGCAAAGTATTTCTACTCATTTTTTCGCTTTTGGCAAGGTCAGAAGCTTGTGGAATATTTGCCTAAAACACAAACCCAAACGAAGTTAACTTGCTGTGTGAATTGTTAACGCATACAATTCGCACATTTATCATGTTGTTTACATACGAACCCAGCCTTATACGATTTACATAAACATAAACAACAGAAATTGCCTCAGCATGTTAACATGATTTTCCAATGTTTTTTGTACGTTTTTTTATCAATAGTTTATTAACAAGTATTGTTATGTTTTAAATTTCTTCAAAAGGGGCGAAAGCTGGTTTTAAATTTCTTTAACAAAAACTTAAATAACAACAAGGTTGTTTGGAAAATAAAAAGAAAAATTAAATATTTAGTTGCTGGAGCTCAAAATATACTTACACTTGTTACCTAAAGTACCCTAATGATTTCATTCATTAAAACCAAACAATATGGCTCTTTGTTTTTCCATTTGCCTTTTTGTATTTAAATGCCGCCTTGTTACGCCTCGCTAGAGCTTCACCTTGATCTTGCCCAAGCTACTTATAAGTTATTAAAAAAAGCCATAAAAAACTAAAACAATTAAGGGGCGTACGGCTCAGAACACAACAGGTTGAGTACTTTTAGCTATGGCAAAACAGAAATCAATACTTAAAAGCAAATGGCTAAGAGAAAAGGAAGTGCAAGTCAACACTACCGCTTTGGAATCGAATATATCTAATATAATATATGATATAAGGCGGAACCCAACAGTGGGCGATCTACAAGACGACTGTGTCAACTTTGGCATGCTGAGAGCATCCAAAAGATGCTTGATTATAATTCTGCGTCGCAAATCGTCGAATCGCAAACTCGGATTCCGATACAAAGTAAACGAGAATACATTCCGGCTGAGATCATCTTGAAGTGTCAGAGAAACAGAAACAAAACAAAGTAGCTCCAGCGTTTGTTTACTACGAGCATTACTTTATTGGCTTGTTTCACTTAAGCGAATATCGAGCCACACCAACGCAGCCTTTAAAATCTATATTTTAATGCATAAGGTCGATCTATGGAACCGGTTTTTTTTTAGACTTCACGCTCGTTCCTCTCCCGCATATTTGCATTTTTAATGACACTGATATGCCGTGAAATTGTAAACAAATTTTCTGAGCATGACTAAAGTATAGTAACAATGAAAATAAATGCTAGCCATGACTGTAAAATTATAATCAAAGCTTCCCCCAAAATCATGACCAACTGGCATCGATTTCGTTTAAGTGAAAAATAAAAAAAGAGATATTGAGGGAGCACAGCAATTACGGGGCGTATGCGCAATCAAATCCGTGAGTTTGATTTCAACTGCCGAGTTTTATTCGTTTTCAAATGATAATTAGGCAAAGCTTAAGCAGGGAAAAAAGATAATGGGTTTTTATAATTTCGAGAGAATTATTTGCTTGGAAATGCTTTTTTGATTAGCAGATTTAAATATGCAGTAAAATAACTCGTAAAAGTTTTAGTTCGATATATTTTTATGCATCACTTCTATTTGGTGAATGTTTTTATTTTCTGACATCTTAAAATCTTTTAAATTTTTTATTTTACACATAAAAATCCATCCAATTTTCTACACAAATTCTATACCTTGTCGGTATTTTACAAATATTTTTCCTACCACAAACAGATGCCGCAGGTACAAAGGTATTTAAAATTCAATTTATTTTACACATTTACTTTTTTTTTTGACCAACGGAAGTCAACACACGCCATCCATCAAAGCTTAATTTGGGTGCTGCCAAATACAAAAGAGCCCACAAACAAAAAAAACTAAGCCAAACGAAGCGAAATTCTTTTGTTACATATTTGGTGTAGTAGCGAAATTTATGTCCATTGGAATAGAACTCAAATTTCCATTTTATGTGACAGATGCGGCAGTCAAATGATAATTAATTATTATTTAACGAGTGACGAGATCTTGGCCATGACCAGTGAGTAAAATTGGCCAAGAGGCCCGAGGCGAATCACTTTTCGGTCAAGTGGCTTTTGGCCCAATGCCCGCAGTTTGTTAATGAAGTGACTCTGACTTTACTGGGTCTGCTGCTTATTGTTTTGGCCAAGTTCAATGCACGCAGCTGTTGGCTGCAATTGTTGGCCAAATTCTAAACCCAACCCACATGGTTTTTGGCGGTCTGAAGCATTTCGGATTTCTGCCCACAATTTGATCGAATAAAAAAAGGCCACAAATAAGCTGAAGTATTTCCAGCGGACAGGTGTCAACCAACAATCACGCAATGAAAATGTTTACCAAAAGGCCACAAAAAATGCAAATTTAAAGCCCTCTTCAGTGAGAACAAAACTTGACTGCCAATTGAGGGAGTTTGTTTGAGCCTTACACCGTACATAGGAGGTTCCATTTCACTATTACTTTATTAATATTTATATTTGAACATGTTCATAAATAATTATATTAAATTCAATCAAGACTCTCTGTGGAAAACATGGCATGCAGCAAATTATTAGTTTGGTTACAGTCCAGCAGCCAAAAGCCCATTGGCGCCTCAAATAACCAGGCTTAATTGCCTACAAGCTCAATCAATAAATAAATAGCCAAACAGGAAAAGATGTTCATTAAGAATTTCTTGCATAATTAAGACATGAGTTATTGAATGGCTGATAAGTCAGCGACTTTTGAGCATGGCTTTATCAAATGAATATTAATTCTTGGCATAAATAAATGCTAAATTTGTGCAGCAATCTTTTTTTGTTCTCTTTGGCAAATAGAATTTCTGGTTTTGTTAGTTATTTTTGTTTGCCCTACCACGTTTCATGCATTTCCAATTGGCTTTCATCGGCTTACTCGACAATCGAACATGGCCCTCAAAACAAAGCTAAGAAATAAAAACAGGTACACAGAAAAAAATAAACTAATAAAAAGTTGAATAAAAATGTATCATTATAAACCCTTCTAAATTTTTGGAATATTTTTAAAAGGTTTTAAAATGGCAAAATTAGCATTTTATATTATTTTAATTTAAACTATATATTTCTTTCTGTGTACATACAAATGGCAGCAAAGTATACCTTAGATACAATCGTATCCACAAGGCGCTTACGTGAGCAAAATGTTTATGGCTACGAAAACAAGCCAAAATCCAAGCCAAGCCAAGAGATTTTCAATAGAACAAAATCGAAATAAACTGAATTGTTACTGGTTTCATATACAATAGGACTGGTATTTTCTATTGAGATTCCTCCTTTGAGTTTTAGAAGCTGCCGACATTAGCTAATTGCCTGTAATTACCCTGGGGGCACAAATCGCGGCAGCTCGAGCTCAAATAGAATATATACATTTCTGCCGGGGCAAAAACCACAAAAATCCATTACAAGTGCGGAGACAAAAGTTTTGTAGCGAAATGAATCATGCGGTGGAGTCCGAGATACCGAGAGTGGGTAGAAATCTCATGGATATATGTACCCATAACCATGTCCAAACGGATGTTGTTCTGGCCAATATGCAAAAGGGGGGTACGAGAGCCAGTGAAAAGCCAGCGAGAACTTGCTTTCTTAACCCACTAAAATGAAAGTTGAAATGGAAACGATGGCTTTCCGTTCCGTTCCGCAAAGTGGACGACCTTTACCTCATAGGCTGCCACATCCTCCTTGCCGTAAATGGCAGTTGGCGATGAGTTTCGTGGGGCGAACATTTCTCAATCTCTTCGAAGGTCCTTGACGACACACAACACCACATTCCTTGGTAAATATTCACTTATTTAGTTAATTGCAAATCTCGTTTACACGTTATCTTTATTTTTATGGCACATTTGAGACAGAGACGCCCACCAAAAAAAAAAAAAACTTAAGGCTATAAATTCGTAATTGTTTTTTTTGTTCAGTTTGACTCTTTTTTTGGGGGCGTTGTGGTTTCGTTTTTTTCGTATAATTAATAATACACTTTAAATAATACTTTTTACTGTTTTTCTTTTCCTTTTTTTATTTCGTTGCTTTTCGGCTATTTTTGATGACTAGTCTTTATAGCATTTGTCTTGTGTTTCTCTGCTTTATGGTTTTTGCGACTTTGCCTCAAGGTCGTGTTGGGTGTTCTCTTTGTATCCGTTCGGTTCGTTGTATCTTTCAGTACTGCGGTATCTATGTATCTTTTGTTTCATACCACCGTAACTGAACTATAATTATTTTTTTGTATTTTTTCTTAAATTTTTTCTTTGCGTTTCTTCAACTTTTGTGTAGTTGTTCATACAAAATTCGTTGCACGTTTTTCGCTGGCTTGCTTGCTAATTTCTTTTAACAACAATTATAGCGTCGCCTTTTGTAATTATTCAAAAAATTGCTTGTCGTTTGTGGTTGTTGTTGTGACTTGTTTTATACTATTTGTTGTTGTTATTATCGTTATATTTTTTTTGTGTCAGCCGTTGTCGCGTATCGGTTTTTAGCGCGGCTCAAATGAAACTGGCGAGATTTCAACGATTTCAGCACGTCGTCGCCGATATCGAGTTGAGCCAACCAGCCAGAGAGTTTGAGATATATGACCAGAGATATATACAGAGAGAAAAATGAAATGAGAGAAAAACGTTCGTTTGAGACCTGTCCGATTGAGTTTTTGAGCGGCACGCACACCTATCTGTTAGATACTCAGTCTTTAAGCTCGAAAATTTGCATATTTCACGATGAAACAACACAGAAGAAACACGTTTCTGGCCCCAAGTCCAAAATAGCAATCGCTGTTCTAACACGCGAAACAAACTATTCAGACCACTTGAAAACGACTGCAACTTTTGTGCGGGAGGGCCAAGAAATTGTTGGTTGGGGAGGGGGGGCTAATAAGTTTTAAAACACGCTAAAACAATTAATCAATTGCCGCTAGTTTTGGCACCCACGATCGTTTTAATTATTTAATAATCTGCATGTACACAGTGGAAAGTTATGGCATCTAAAGTCTGTCTGCACTGCCCACTGTTTGCAATAAATTCTCGGAATTACCGAATTGGTGGGCGTACATACATGTTGTTCCCTCCAAAAGCCGTAAAACAAAATTAGGCAAATCAACAGCAGGGCTAGTGGCTAAAAATTACAATGAGAGTATCGGGGGTCAGCCAAGTGGAACACATTTACCACTGCCATGCAGATAGTTAGATACGGATACAGATGACTACAGATACAGATGTATATCTGTTTATATGGTGCTGGATTGTTGGGGCTGCTTCTATGGTCAAGATGCAGTCTGTGTGGCAAAAGCTAAATAAAGCCATTGCATTGTGCACTGACTATTTGCAGAAAATATGGAAATTGCCGCTTATGACTTATGGGCTTAATTGACAGTATTTCATTGTGAGTTTTCACATGTGGATGGGGGCTTTTCGAGAAGTTAACTTGGTTGAACTTGGGTTTTTAAGGCCTAAATGGGAGGAGTTTTCATTATAGTTAGCACTTGTTCTTGACGCTTATTAATAATTAGACTATTTTTTTAATTTACAATAAATATTTAGAACATTTAATCTAGGGTACTTGGTACTAAACCATTTATAGCAAATATCCTAGGCTGAATTATACTTTTTCCTCTCTAAAAATATCACATTGTTATCCCCACACACATTATATCTCATCTATCGACACACTTAAGCTACTCACTTTGAATATTTTTTGATTCAAGTGCAATCATAAGCTTAGCCATTGCACAAAGGCCAATCAAATAGGTAGCTACCTTTCCATAAACAACTCACCAAAAACACACACAAACAGTAGAGACGACTGAAAAGAAAATCAATTTGCATAACACAAATCAAGTGAAATAATCAGGCATCAGTCGAGAGAAAAGAGACAGAGGTTGAAAAACCAAACCGATGCCCAAACAAAATCCAAACTTGAAACGCACTGCACCACCGACAGATTGACAAACAAACAAAGCACAGGCAAACACACAGCACACTGGAAAAAAATGCACAGTTGACAGACACCTTTAGTTTCACCCCACCCCTTTGTATATACTTATATATATATCTATGTATTTCCCTGTGATCCGAAATTGTGCAGCCAATTTCTTTATCTTGTGCCATGGCCAAGTCGCAGTTCGGCGCTAGTTTATGGGGGAAAGTTACAACCGACTTGCTCTGACAGATGCTAGGCAGATAGATATAGACGGGGTATACGGGGGATTCCCGAGGCTTGGGGGTTTGGGGGACCGGGTTCAACTATCTGGGTATCTGTGGGTCCGACCGCCTGCATGCGCCGCATATTCAAATGAATGCAGACTGCTCATTGTTGCTGCTGTTGCTGTTTGGTAGCCGTTTGTTAATACACAACGAGAAATGTTTACAAATATTACAATTAAGTAATCTTTTAATATTTTTGAAAGGCAAATTTATGAATCTAATTAATTGGTTACGTTATAAGGCATGTTTTTTATTATTTAAATTACGAATCCACATTGATTTTATGTCGCTAGTAAAGGCTTTTTGAAACTTTTCTTCAAGCAAGTATTGTAAAAATATAAATCTATACACTTTAAGTCCTATGATTTTAAAAAAGAATTTTTTAGAAGTATAATAATTTTTTCAGAATTTCAAAACACGTGAAAAATTGAGTTCCCGAATAATCTTTTCTATTAAACTTAACAATACTCTTAAAAATTTTTTTTAGATATTGCAATTTGTTGTGAAAGTAGCTGTAACGACAGAAAAATATTTGGGTTAAAAACGGAAAACATTAGGTACAATTTTCGCGCTGTGTATCCGTGTTTGCTGCTGTGCCACTTGGCTGCCTTTTTCCCTTTGATTTGCGCCGTGAAAAATCGTTGGACTGCACTGGAATTACAAACTATCCATCCACAGTCTGTCTGCTGAGAGCTATTTATCGCCTTGCAATCCCACCTTCTTGCAATTTGTAATTAAAATGCCTTTTGCCTCATTGTCATTTTTGGATTGTACAATTTTCAAATAGTTTTTTGTAATGCAAATTGCCAATCGAATTACTTTTGTTCGGACCTGACCAATGCTGGAAATGAAGCCTTTGTTCGATTTGATTTGTGTGGGCAACTATAATCAATAATTATTATGATTTATTTGCATTGTTCTGGGCGTCGCAGATTAGATCTCAGTGGGTTAAAAACAAGGCAGTCTGCCAAATGGGGAGTATCTTTGGGGGATTGGAAATGAGTTAAGACCGAGATAATATCGAATAATTACATAATTGGTCCGATCGTTAGGATAAGAGTAATAGGGAATGATTTAATTACAAGCGATAGATTTTAATTGCAGGTTTAAGGTTATAACTATGTTTTATTATCTAGAAGCGAATGCTCTAATCCCATTCTTATTAGATTCCTTATTGCTCACATCTCCCTCAGAAATGTCTTGAAAAATACATCAATCACTTGACGACTTAAAAAACCACTCAACATTTCATTCCCAGCTGTCGATCCATTCAATCAGCGCTCCAATAAACCCACTCAATCGATTCTGCTGTGGCGCATGCGCATTTTGTCAATCTGTCAATATCTCGGCAGCTCGAATTAAAAAAGCTCGCGATGAGGTAAGCTTGAATATCTGAGCAAATCTGAGTCGACTCGCTATCTACCTCAATCATTTGCAGCCCCATTGAAACGTTGCCGACAATTTTGATTAATTGCACAGATTTGCAGCTAGCTGCAATCCAAAGTGTTACAACAACAGGTTGGCCATCAATCGATGTTCCACAATTAAGTCGAAATCAATAAACCCATAAAGCCTAATCACATGGGGTGTTGGAGAAAAAAACACATAGATGAGAAATGGTAAAAATAAAATATGAAACATAATTCAATAATGAAGCGTTGCAATTTACTGCGCATACCACTTGAACTACGTGACAAGCGTGATGGCTCTTGGCGTTTTTTTTTCGGAAAAGTCTGGGAAAATCTGGCCATAAATTTTGGCAAGGCGGAAAAACGGTCGAAAAGAAAACAGTGCATGGAAAGTAGGAAGAAAATATTTAAGGGGCCAGGTTACTCTCGGGTGTCAAAGTTGATGAAAGATGCTGCCAGCTCAAGGGGCTCTTAACTTTAACTTTAACTTTGGCTTTCAAAGGAGGAGTGTCTTTTGGGCCTAGGCATTTCAATCTCGAGACTGCATCTTTGGCGGCTTTAGTTGATTTGAAAGTTTAATCAAGCATTAGTGTTAGTTAAAAGGCTATTTTCGGTGTTTTTATTGCCTTTTTTTTTGAAGATTTGTTGGTGGCACGTAGTGCACTTTGTAATGGCCGAGCAATTTGTCTAATGATTGCTATTTGTGCAAGTAATTTGCAAGTGCAGATCAAAGAGAGAGGGTCTTATACGGATGGAGTTGAAAGTCTTTTTATTCCGGTCGATTATAAGTGTTAATTATATGGCCAAACTTCCGAGAAGGGGGGAGTGGGGCTTAAAACGCTTTCGATGTAAGCTTTCTTTAATTGACAGACAAATTTGTGATTTGAATGGCTAAGTGAACGTTGCTGACGTGAGTTGAAGATGATGGAATGCTAATGTGTGGGCTTTAGTTGGTAACTACTGTGGGAAGATGGGGAAAATTGCTTGAAAGCCAAGAGATTCTGAATCAGTTTCCTATAAAAATTGCTATGTATTTTACTTGAACATTTTAGATTACTTAAACAAAATGAAAGTACTCCATTGACAAAGGGGCTAGTAATTTATAATTGATTTTTTTTTAATTCATAGTATTGCCTATATATATTTCTTTTGACTGTGTTCAACTTTCATGCTGCTTCTCAATTTCAAATCGTCACCATAATGACCCCTTAAAAGTATCGATCTCCATCACAACTTAACCCTCATTATCTCACTTCATTTGTGGTCGTTTCATTTCCCTTTTGCATATCAATATCCCAAGCCAAAGACTTAACCCATTACAAACTGATGGCCACATTCAAGATATTAATTACATAATGCCCGAGCCAAACCGAAAAAAAATATCAATTTCGTGTGGTCACAAAATGCATTTTAAGATTTAATTATATAGAGAGTGAAACATTTTTATATACCATTTTGTTCGTGCTGTGCTTCATTTTTATGTACTGCTAAATGCTGCAGAGGAGTTGTGGTCGCTGTTGTGAAAACCACTCGAAAAAAATGCGTTTCAAATTGAAACGAGGAGATACGCCCACAAAGCGACAAGATACAGATACATACATGCAATTCCATATGTTATACAAAAAAATGTCGGGAGCTGCAGCAGTTGCAACGCACTTAACCAAATTGCTACAATTTGACAAATAAAAAAAAAAACAGAGTACACCCAAGCCAAAAGTGTTGGCTCTAATAACAAGTGTCAGTCTGTCAGCTGCCAGCCCCCAAAATCTGCCCACAGTTTGTCTTTTCTGTTTTTTTATATAAATGCATTTTTTTTTTGCATAATTTGGTTGGGGTGATAAATTTTAAGTACTTAATTTTGTGGTATTAAAAAGGCTTTATGACATTATTTATAATTTG